GCAGTTTGGGTGGTTGTTTCAGTTTCTTTAACTGTTTTAGTTGGAGCGGGAGGAGTTATAGTTTCGACAGGAGGGGTCTCGGTAATGGTTACTTCTTGGATTTGCGGAGGTAAAGTTATTGGAGGGGGAGTAAAAGTTTGAGGAGGTGGGGTTTCAGTAGTAGTTATTGTTTGGGTTTGGTTATTGGCTTTTAGATTAGCGATTTTTCATTCTAAATTAATAATTTTTTCTTGGGCTTGCTGATAATTATACTCTAATTGGTTAAATTGGTGAAGTTGCAGACTGGATACTGAATTTCAGTTGTTGGGAACGTTTCCCCAAGTAGGATTAGAGCAACCATTTCAATTAGGATTAAGGGAACTGTTGGTTGAATTATCAAGAATACTCAATTGGTTAGAAGAGGAATAACCAAGATTATAATAATTATAAGTTAATCCTGCTACGGTTAACCCTGTCCCAACAAATCAAGTCTTTTTGTTAATTCTTTTGGGTTGTTTTGGTTGGGGAGCAGGACGGTTATTTAATTGTTCTTGTAATGCTTTATTTTGTTTTTTTAGGGTTTTGTTTTTGTCTTTTAAAGTTTGGGATTTATTTTGTAAAAGTTCTACTTTTTCTTCTAGTTTCCGATAACCAGTCAGGAGAATTTGAAAATCTTGGGACAATTGGTTCAGATAAATTTCTTTCTCACGCCGATTTTGCTCAGCTTCTTGCCAAAGGCGATTGGCGGTGGCTTCGTCTTGGACTAATAAATCGATTTGGGCTTGGGTGGTAGTTAAATCATCTTGATTTCGGGCTAAACGTTTATTTTTGCTATTAATTAATTGGTCTAAATTACTTAAATCTTGGTTTTGTTTTCTAATTTGGGCTTCTAGTTTAGCGATTGTTTTTTCATCAATTCGATAACCTTGACGGTGAAGTTTTCTTTCATACAGTCATTCACGTTCTTTATCTTGCTGATAGTCTATTTGATAATTTAATTCAGCTCGGAGGAGTTTAATTTTTTCTTGTTGGTTGGAGTTTTCTTGTTTTTGCTCCTCTAAATCTTTTTTGGCTTGGGCTAATTTTTTGGTTAGGTCGTCGATAATGGCTTCTAAGCGTTGTATTTTTTGATCGGTTTCATTGTTTTTTTCATACTCATTATTGTCGTCTCAGTAGCCAGAATCTTGACGACGCTGTAAATTTTGAAGTTTATTTCTTTCTTGTTCAGCCTGGACCAGTTTGGTAGTTAGATTATTAATCCTTTGAGTGTGACGTTGCTTGGCATTAATTAATTTCTCTTTTCGTTGGCTAACTTTGGCTAATTTCCTTTCCAAACGATTAATAAACTCAATTAAATCACGATTTTTTGCTTGGTCTTCGGTTAGTTGCTGGGTCAAGAGAATAATTTGCTTTTGCTTTTGGTCTCCTTGGGGAATTAAATGAGCAATTGTTTGTTTTTTCTTTTCTAAAATATTCTCTAAATCGCTTATTTTAGATTGTAGTTCATCAATTATCTCTTTTTTGTCTCTGTATTTTTTTCCTTTTACTAATAAGGAATTTTTATGTTTTGGACTATTTTGAGGAGGAGAATCGTCTTGATCTCTCTCTCTCTCTCTCTCATATGTTATTAACTCAATTAAAAGAAGTTTGGAAATTAACACTTCTTCCCACTGAGTATTCTTTTTGTCTAATTTCTTTTTCCAACTCAATATTTTCCCTTATGTTGTTTATATGTTGTTGTGTTTTTACCATAGTTTTAAAAATTTTTGTCATTATAGGCCTTCGCCTATATTATAAGTTTTAGGAAAAAACGGGTCAGTCGAAGTTGAAAATGGATTGAAAAAGTTATCCAGGAGACTAAAATTGAAGTGAAAAAATACGAAAAATGATACTAAGTTAAAAGACTTACAAAATCAAGTCCAACATTACCAAAAACTTTATCAGCAAAAAATGAGAAGGAAAAAAAAATAAAAATTGAGTTTTTCCCCTTTTTGCTCCTTAAAGAAATAAAGAAAACGGTAAAAAGATTTATATAACACTAATATGACAAAGAAGTTTACTTTTCCTCCTCGGGAAGAAATGGAGAGAGTAAGAAAAAGAATAGCCAATCCTAATCATAGAAGGACAAATATTTTTTTAACTCCCTGAGCCACTCCTTTAGAAAAAGCCAAGCATAAAATCTGCCAAAATATTTCTTCTTATCAGGAAAAAAATCATATCCGAAGGTAGATATTATCAATACACTTATTACTCTGCGGAGCCCCTTTATAACCAATGAGATTATGCTTTTAGATTAGTTTGATGTTTAGATGATAATAACCCCCATGTAATTGGAGTGATGGACTGTTATTGAAGAAATAAATATAACCAAATTGACTGACCTTGAAAGTAAATTAATTACTTATTATTTCCTTGTATAAGATTTTCCCAATTTTAGCCTTGTAAGAGAAAAAACCAACTAAAACCTATGAAAATAATCTGAATTTTAATAATTATCGCCCTCGCTTACTGATTTTATAAGAAGAAATTAGCAAGCAACTAAATTAACTTCTTTTTTAGCAGATTTAACTGTGGCTAAATATTGTAAGCCCTTTATTTTGTTCTCTGACTGTTTTTTTTCTTTTGCTTTAATTAGTGCCTTTTGTATACTTTTATTTTTCTCTCTTTCTCTATAACTCTATCTCATTCCAGGATATTTTTTATAAAGAGATATAAGGCTTTGGAAATAGGTTTTTATTAATTTCGCCCTTTTAAAACTCTTATTTCTTCAGAAAAATCCTCTCTCTTGCGTGGAGTTTCTAATAATTTAGGTATTCCGTTAAATTTGGGATGTCAAACTATTTTTTGAAGTGCTTCAAAGCCAATATTCCCATAACCAATGTTTTCATGGCGGTCAATTTTGGCTCCTAACTCTTGTGTACTGTCATTAACATGGATAGCCCATAATTTATCCAAACTAATTTTTTGGTCAAATTCCTTAATTACTGCTTCCAGATTATTTTTTATATCATAACCGGCCGTATATAAATGGCAAGTATCTCAGCATACTCCTATTCTTTCTTTTTGTTCTATCCTATCCATTATATATTTCAACTGCTCAAAATTTATCCCCACTTCGCTACCACGGCCACACATAGTTTCCAAGGCAATGCGAACAGTAGAATTTTTTTCCAGAATCAAACTAATTCCCTTCGCCACCTGGGACAGGGCTTCCTCGATTGGCGTATCTACCGCACTCCCGGGATGAAGAATAATAGTTTTTAAGCCTATTCCCTCCATTCTAGCCACCTCCTTTTTCAGGAACTCAACCGACCAGTGGAAAATTTCCTCCCGGGAAGTATTTGCTAAATTCACTACATAAGGGCCATGAACGATTACATTATCAATCTCAATATTATTTTCAACAAGTGTTTTTTTAAATTCGGGTATTTTTAATTCAGTTAAGGGCCGACGGCGAGTATTTTGGGGTGCTCCTAGATAAATCATCAGGGCATTCGCGCCATAACTTGCTGCTTCCTTAACGGCACCCGGTAAATAATTAGGTGATTTAAAAAGGCAATGACGCCCGATTATTAATTGATACTTCTTATTATTCGTTTTACTTGTGGTCATATATTTTATGATGTTTTTTTGCGGCTTCTTTTACATATTTGTGCTCCTAAGCCAATTATAAGTATGAGAAATATTATACTAACTCCTAAAATAATTTTAGTTTCGGTTGACATTCCTTTACTATTATTTTGGGGTTCTGGGGATGGCTGTGGGGAATTATCCTTCTCGTTTGACTTGAAGAAGCATTCATCAGAACAAAATATTTCTTTTTTTCCTTCGTGGTCAGTAAAAATTCATTTTGCTTGGCTTTCTGAAAGGTCTTTCTCGCAAACCGAGCATTTTTTAGGGGGGGGGGGGGGGTTATCCCTATTTCCATTATTATTATTTTTAGGAGGAATTATTGGCGATTTTTGTGGTGGGGAATTTTTTCTTCGGTAAGTATCGATACATTCGAGGGAGCAAAAAATTTTCCCCTCGCCTACAAAATAAGAATTTTTGACTTCTCCACAATTAGCACATTTTTTCTGGTTTTTGTTGTTGTCATTATGCTTTCAGGGTTGACAATGAGGACAATCTCTTTGTTTTAATATTTTGCCATTTTGGTCCTTTTTGCCAGCATAGCAATTCGTATCATCATTTTTTACATAGCCCGTCCCCTTTCTTTTCAAATGGTCCTTATCATAGGAATAAATAAAAGCGTAATCCTGTAAATATTCTTGCTCTTTGTCCTTATAACAATCACAGCACACATGAAGCCTTTCACCATTATCACTGCCCTGATAATATCCTAAATAAACGCCTTCGCTGCTACTCTCAATTTCCTTTTTTTGACAATTATCGCACTTGACCTTTACCATAATTAATTATTTTTTCTATTTTACAACAATTAACTCGCGGGGTGATTTAGTAAGCAACTCATAACCAGTTTTAGTAATTAAAATATCATCCTCAATTCGCACTCCTCCTAAATCAGGAATATAAATGCCCGGCTCAATGGTGATAATCATTCCTGGCTGTAATATAGTACCATCTCGCAACGAAATAGAAGGCTCCTCGTGGACTTCAATTCCCAACCCATGACCAGTCGAATGAATAAAATATTCGCCGTAGCCTTTTTGTTGAATATAGTCCCGAACAATTTGGTCAATTTCACTACATTTTATTCCTGGTTTGACGGATTGAACACCTTTTCATTGGGCTTCTTGGACTATTTGATAAATTTCTTTTAGTTTGGGATTAATTTCTTTACCGACCGCAAAAGTGCGAGTGAAATCTGAGCAATATCCCTGATATTTACAACCAAAGTCAACGGTAATTAATTCACCTTCTCTAATAATTTTATTGCTAGGTTGAGCGTGGGGCAAAGCACCATTTTCACCAGAAGCCACAATGGTATCAAAAGAAAGCCCGTCGGCTCCCAATTCCTCAAAAGAGTTACGAATAATCTTTGCTAAATCCTTTTCACTCATTCCTGGTCTAACTACTTTTAATAATTTTTGGTAAACTTGATCAGTAATTTTGGCGGCCTGGCTCATTCGTAATATTTCCTTTTCTGTTTTGATCATTCTTATTGTGCTGGTTTTTATTCCTACTCAATTAACTTCTGGAGTTTCTTTTTGTCATTTTTCTAGTTGACCAACAGTTATATATTCTTTTTCGAATCCTAGCCGCTGGATATTTTTTTCCCGCAAGAATTTTTTGATATCCGCCCAACTTTTTCATAAATGAACTTGGACTTGTTTATTGTCGATACTCTTCCGAGCACCAGTAATATAACGCCCATCCACAAAAAGGTGTTTTTCTTGTTTAATAACAAACACAAAACCTAAACTAGAATAAAAGTCAGTTAACCAAAAACGATTTTCGGGGGAAAAGAAAAGCATGGCATCTAAATTGTTATTTTTAGTTATTTCTTTGACAGACATATACAAAAGAATTTAATAATTCAAGTAAAAACTTCAATTATTAGGGGGAAGAGAACTCTCCCCCGCTTTTTTTCTTACCTTTTTAATTATTTAAAATTATTTTGCTTTTTTTGTCTCCTTTCTATCGGAGTAGAAAATAAGCAGTAATATCAGGATTAAAAAAGTGAAAAGAGAAGCAATTAAAATAGGATAAAAGTATTTATCTCAAAAAAATTCTTTCGGCTGGGCAGTGTCAACATTTATACAATCTAATCTCGACATGAGAGGATTAGATAAACGGCCAGTATCTCGGGTAGAACTAGTGGCAATTAAAATAAATTGGGATAAGTCAATTGTTTCCCCTCCCACTGATAAAGAGGAATTTTGTGCGGGGTCAAAAACTGCTAGCAAGAATTTTTGGAGCGGAGATTTGTCAGCAATTTTATCAATATTTTTGAACCAAATGACGGGAAATTCTCCTTGCTTAATAAGTTGCTGATTGACAGAAGAATTAGCAATTTCTTTAATTTTATTTTCAATAAATCCTTTTTCTTTGCTTTTTGCTTCAGAAAATTCAATAATATTGTCATCTTTTATTTTACTATGTTTTGCTAATTCTTGATTATATTCTTCACCAGCAAAAAAGGAGAGTCAAGAAAAAAGTTTAATATTTTCCCCCTTACTTTTTTTTTCTTTTCTGGCTTCGGCTTTACTTTCAATAGTTTTTTCTATTTGTTCGGCAATGGTATTCATAAGATTAGTTTCTATTCTTTAGGTTGTTTTTTTATTATAAATCTCTTAAAAATTCAACTGGCAAAGAGGACAAAATTAAGTCCTAAGAAAATGAAAAGGAAATAGTGTTTTCAAGTGGCTTTAAATTCTTCTTGATAAGGGAAAATATTTTTTTTTACTCATTCCTGAGGATTTTCCAGAACGGTAAACTGTTTATTCTTGTTTTTAGTATAAATATATTCTTCCTCAATTTTACGTAATGCTCTTTCGGCTTGCCGCACTCCTACTTCTTTAATTTGTTTGAGTATCTCTTTAATAACCTTTTCGGTTATAATGCCACCTTTTTTTTCAGAATACTTCTCATTAATTTCCTTCGCTTTCATCTTTAAAATTTTTTCTTTTTCTTCATTAGTGAAATCTGGTAATTCAGTTATATTAACCTCATTTTTTAGTTCCATGTCTAAGTCGTCAATATAATTTACAGTAGCAAAAAAGGTAATGTGGCTTAAATCTATTTCAGTTTGAAAATATTTATCAGTGAACTTTTTTCCTTCTTTATAATCTTTAAAAAGTTGAATTAAATGCTTCTGAATTTCTTTATCCTCAACTTTTTCTAATTCGTCAAGGAGAATAACTGGATTTTTTGAGCCTCATTTTTTAATCGCCCAGGCCACTAAACTAGGTTTTTTATCATCTCCTAAAATGGAATATTCCTTAGATTCCTTGAAGCCAGCCAAAGATATTGGTTCACAGTCCCGACCCATAGCATTAGCCAGATTTTGGACAAAGGTAGTTTTTCCCATGCCGGGAGCACTAGAATAGCAAATTACTTCTTTTTTGGGTCAAAATTGCCCTTGAGTCATGACGTAGACTTTAATATGCTTAAGAAAAGTTTCTTTTTCCTTTTCAAAACCAATGTGCTTTTTTAGTTCTTCATCGACTTTTTTAATATCACTCGATATTTTCACTGATTTACTGAGAGCATCAGTTAATTTTTTTTTTTCTTGCTCGAAATTATTCATAAGTTATTAGTTCAAATTGTAATTAATTATTTTATTTTTAATATCCTTTGTTTGTTTATCCACTGCTACGGTCGATAAAAAAAGGTAAGGCAACTATTAAAGCCAAGCAGACAAGGAAAATTATTGTTCATAAAAGCCAAGTTTTTTTTATATATTTTTTATACGACGAGTTAGTAGCGGTTAAGGACATTTGGAGATTGCCATTAAAAGGCGAAATTCCCTCAGCCACCATTCGCGCCATATGAATAACTGTTATGCTGTAAGCCAAAGTATTGAGGGAATAACTTTTCAAGGTCTTGGCCATGGCTTTGGCCAGGGCTCTTCGCACATCAACCGCCAGGAATATCAAAAGAAAAAAGACTACGAAAATTATTGGCAGCACCCAGAACCGGCTGTGAGGTAGAAATCCAGTTCCAATTTTTAGTTCCATTTTCTCTAACAATACTACTATGGTACCAGCAAAAATGTAGGCAATAATAATTGGGATTGTCTTAGTTACAGCAGTAATGAGGGTATTGATAATATTCAATTTGGCAATTAAACAAATTATTATTCCTCCAATAGTAAACCAGTATACTGTTTGGGAATGTCCTCACTCACCAAATTTTCCCCACCAGGAGGTGTCTTTGGTATTTTTTTCGGCTATTTCCATCTCACTTGAACCAACCTTGACTTCTCCTAAATAATTATACTTTTCTTCTTTTTCGGTGTTGCATACCCACTCAGGAATATTCTCTGATGTTTTTTTTACTGTCTCAGTCTTAGCAAAAAATTTAAAACTTCCTAAAATACTTACTAAAATAAAGAAAAAACTGAGAAAGAGAATAAATTTTCTTCTTCAATTAAAAGGGGGGATTTTTTCCTCTGGTTGGGATTGGTTAGTAGCGGGCAGAGTAGTAGGCTTTTTTTGAATTTTATTACAATATCAAATGTTAAAAAAGACTAAAATTGTGGTCAAAATTACCCATACCATCGCTGAAAACAAAAATCCTTCTGAGCCGGTAAAGTGAGTATTGGCCTCAGGATTAATAACTTGACTAAAATATCCCTGCCGTCCTTTGTTGGCAAGGCTTCCGATAAGTCCTACTGCCGAACCACCATAAAGACAGAGCAGCGAGGAAAAAGTATCAAATCCCATGCTTAGCAAAAAAGGAACTATTAAAGGATAAAAATGAATAAACTCATCTGCTCATCACAAAGTGGAAGCCAAGAGTGAAGTAGTAATAGTGATTATAGCCACCGCGGCCAGTTTTCTTTTTTGTAGTCATTTCCGCTTGGAGGAGAATAGGGCTTGAACACTTTTGCTTTGCAAAAGAGCATAAAGAAGAAAAGCCATAGCAATAATGGCTAGACCATTTCCATTCTTTAAATCCAAAGTATCTTTGGCTGATTCCCAAATCGAGGGGATAAGATTAGTTATTCCAATTGGCTGTTTGGCTATTGCTGGAAATCACGAAGCAAGTATTAATACGACAAATACTAATAGATAAATTAAAAAAAACATATAAGATTTAAATTAAAAAAAGAGTTAAGCAAAAATATTTTCTTGTATTTATTATAAAGTTCTTAAAATAAGAAAAAAATTAATTTTTGCCACCCAAAAGCGGCTTATTTTTGTTTAAATAATAATTTATTTTTAGCCAAGTATGACCCGCCATTAAAAAAGGACTATCCATATCTATCGAAGAATTAGTTATTTTTTTTCTTTCAGGCAATATCTCTTCGTAACTCATATTTGTTAATTTTATTTTATGGTTGAAAACAATTCAATCAACGTTTTTATCATGACACCAGTTCCCCGCTTGGTTTTAGTTTTTCAAGCAGTTCCAGCGATATCGCAGTGCAGAAAAGGTAATTTTTCCACAAATTCTTGTAAAAAAGCAGCTCCATTAGAAGCCCCCATGTAGCGACTATTGCTGATATTACCGAGGTCAGCAATAGTAGTATTTTCTTTTAAGTTTTTGGTATTTTCTGGCAAAAGTGGTAATTCCCAAATTCTTTCCTGAGATTTTTGGCTCGCCTGGTTAAATTGTTGATAAAATTCCCGATTATTAGTCATAACTCCGGTAATATTTTCCCCCAAGGCTAGCACACAGGCTCCAGTTAAAGTTGCCACAGTAATTATTTTGGTTACCTTTTCTTTCTGAAGGGCATAAGTAATTCCGTCAGCCAGAACTAAACGGCCTTCCGCATCTGTGTTGTTGATTTCCACTGTTTTACCACTCATCGAGGTTATAACCGATTCTGTAAGGGTGGCATGTCCGCCAATCGCATTTTCAGTTAAACAAGCCACTGCTATCACATTTATTTTTGGTTTTTTTTGAACCAAGGCCAAAAAAGAAGCGCAAACCACTGCGGCTCCAGACATGTCAAACTTCATACATTGTAAATACTGAGAAGGCTTTAAATCATAACCACCGCTATCGAAAGTAATGCCCTTTCCCACTAGCCCAAGCATATTCTTCTTGTTTTTTACGTCACCAAAATAACGTAAAATTACTACTCGTGGTTCATGATGACTACCCGCATTAACTGCCAACAGTAAACCCATTTTATTTTTTTCAATCTGCTTTTTATCCAGAATTTCTATTTCTACATTTTTTGCTTTATTGAATTTACTTTTAACTGCTTCGGCAAATTCGCGAGCATGCAGTTTATTAGGCGGTGAGTCCTGCAAGTCACGGGCCCAATTAACTGCTTCCATTTTAGTTAAGGAATTATCTAAAAGTGTTTTTGCTTTCTTGTTTTTAGTTATCAAATAATAGTCGCCACCTTTTTTTTTATCCGGTTCTTGCTTAAATTTTATTGATTGATGACTACCAAATAATATTCCCTCGCTAACTGCTTGGATTATCTCTTCTTCTCCTAATCTTTTTGAAACAAAAGATTGAATGTCGATATTTCAATTGCTTTCACTACTGCCAGAAAAATTAACAAAATAATTGTAAAGACTATTAAAATTATAATCTTCACTTTCTTTGTTAACGTACAAATAATAAGTTTTTTTTTCAGAAAGTAAAGTAGTTTTTCATTCCTTTTTTTCAATTAAAGAATGGATTTTATCTTTGTTAGTAATAGCACGAAGAGTTAGTAAATTAACTTTGGGCTCTTTTTGAATGAATAGCACGGTCATATATTTTTATTTTATTATAGGACAATAATTTTCTTTAACAAGGTTTATTAACTAAGAATTAACTTCTGCCTTGACAGTTGGTCGTTTTTTAAGAGGAAGAGAATTTTTTTTACGCTTTTTGGCAAAGATTATTTTTCAAACTTCTTCATACTCTTCAGCAGTAACAATTTTGAGTTCACGACGAACTTCTTCAGGAATATCCTCAATATCCTTTTCATTAGATTTCGGGATTATAATCGTTTTCAACTCGCTGCGACAAGCTGCAATGGCCTTTTCTTTCAAGCCGCCAATCGCCTCAACATGACCATGTAAGGTAATTTCACCAGTCATGCCTATGTCGCGGGGAATAATGTAGTCAGTTAGAGCCGAAATAATGGCTGAAGTCAAAGCAATGCCGGCACTTGGCCCTTCCTTTGGAGTTGCCCCCTCTGGTGCGTGAATATGAATGCTATTTTGCGAAAAAACTTCGGGGTCAATACCAAATTTCTTGTAATTAGCTTTTATATAATTAAGGGCTACTCGTGCTGACTCTTTCATAATATCTCCGAGATTTCCAGTTAGTTCAAAATCTCCCTCTTTACGAGGATAATGGACTACTTCAATTGGCAAAATATCTCCCCCATAACCAGTTCAGGCTAAACCAGTAGCCACTCCTGCTCGTGTGGATTTTACTTTAGAAGTAAATTCATAATCTTTCTTTTTTAAATAGTCTTTCGTGAGATTTTCAGGAGTAATAACTGCTTTACTTACTCGACTTTGCAGAAGTTGCACTATAAATTTGCGCACAATTGCTTGAATTCTTCGGTTTAATTCTCTCACTCCTGCTTCGCGTGTGTAATGCTTTATTATGTCGCGAATAGTCTGGTCTTCAAAAACTATTTCCCTGGCGTTTAAATTATGCTTTTTTAAACTTTCGGGAATTATGTACTCTTTAACAATATGAAACTTTTCAATTTCCGTGTAAGAAGAAAGTCGAATTACTTCCATCCTATCTAATAAAGGCAAGGGTATTTCTCGTTCATCATTAGCTGTGCAAATAAACATTACTTCCGAGAGATTATAAGGAACTTCCTCTCCTAAATAGTTATCAATAAATTTCTTGTTTTGGTTCGGGTCGAGAACCTCCAATAGTGCGTAGGCTGGATCGCCGCGGTAGTCGGAAGAAATTTTATCAATCTCGTCAATTAAAAAGCAGGGATTAATTACTTGGGCTTTTTTCATGGCCTGGATAATTCGGCCTGGCATTGCCCCTATATAAGTGCGGCGATGACCTTGAATTTCAGCCACATCTCGAATACCCCCCACCGAAATGCTAGTAAATTTCCGTCCAGTTGCCTCAGCAATGGAAGCAGCCAGGGAAGTTTTTCCTACTCCCGGAGGTCCCACTAAACAAATGACCTGTCCTAGCGATTTATTGGCTTTCTGCTGAGCAGCCAAATATTCAATGATTTTCTCTTTTATTTCTGACAATCCGTAATGCTTCTCGTCCAACTTCCGTCGAGCAAACTCGAGATCACTAATTCCTTCGGTTTTTTGGTACCATGGTACATTTACTAATCAGTCCACGTACTGCTTGATAATGTTGGCTTCACTGGAATTGCCGGGCATCATTTCGTAGCGTTCTATTTCTTCTTGAGTCACTTTTTTTACATTGTCGGGATAGTTTCCTTTTTCCAGTTTTTCCAAATGCTTCCTCATTTCATTGCTACCATAAGTCCCTTTCTTTCTCAATTTTCTTTCAATAGCCTTTAATTTCTCTCGCAAATATCACTCTTCTTGTTGGTCTTTAATGGCTTCCTTTGTTTTATCCTCAACCTCCTTGTCAATCTTTTGCCGATCTGGTATGTTGATTAAAATTTCCAGCCGTTCTTGTAAATCCAAAGAAGACAGTATTTTTCATTTCGTTAATTGGTCAATTTCTCGGCTATTTTGGGCGATAAAGTCGACAAGATTAGTAACATTTCCTCGCATCATGGTCATGTAAGGCAATTTTTCAACTGAACTTAGTTTGGACTTTTCCAGAATATCTGGGAGATGACGAACGAATTTCTCAGTTAACTCATCTAATGTCTTCTCGTCCAACTCTTTTTCGGGAAAAATTTGGTATTTTCCATATCATACTTCTTCCCTCTTTTCGAGATTAGTTATTTTTATTCTTTCGAGACCCCGCAATTGGATTTCTTTAAGAGAATTGATAATTGGCTCCAAGTTGGCTTCCGCTGAAATATCCAAATTAATCCTAGCTAAGGTTCCAATAGGCACAAACTTCTCAGAATTGTCACTAAATTCTTCTTTATTAGGAATAACGAGTAAATGGCCTTGACAATCCTTTCAGGCTTTCAAAAGTACCTTTTTTCAATAAATATTATTCTCCAACGGAAGATAGTTGTCGCATTTAGGGAACAAGAAAAAATTGTCTATTAATAAAATGGGAAATTCAGTCATAATCTTTTTTTAATTTATTAATTGTTATTTGTGTTTTACACTATTATTTTTAATTAAATATGGCGCCCATGAAGAGAATCGAACTCCTGACCTAACGCTTAGAAGGCGTTTGCTCTGTTCCCCTGAGCTACATGGGCCCATTAATTATTTTTAGTAGAAGCCTGTGTTTTATTCTCTTTTAGGAATTTCAAAATCTTTTGTGCGTTATCAAAAGGGGATCCTGAAGTAGTGTCAACAATCAAATCATAAGGAAATTGAAAATTTTTCTCATTTTGGTAAAAAATCTTTGCCATTCCTATAACCCTATCTCCCCTTGATTTTTCTCTTTGTTCCATGGTTGCCAAATTACACTTTACACTAACCATTAGAAGTTTGTGTTTGGAGAAAAAAGTTTTGTAATCATTAATCAAGAATTCGGTCTCGTTTTTCTTAACAAAATTACACTCGTCAAAAATTACGTTTAAGCCGTTATCGGCTAGTAATTTTACTACTTTTGGCAAGCAAGAAAATACTAATCCGGCATAAGGGCTAACTTTCATTTCAATTAAATCGCCTGTTTTAGGGTCAATCACATAGCGAAATCCTGCTTCGGCTTTTTGGCCAGAACCAACCATTTTTCTTGGCAGAGCACCGAAAAGAGTGTCAATTCCTACATACAAAAACTTTTCTTTGCTTAATTCTTGAATCGCTTTTGCCAGAGTAGATTTGCCTGCTGAGGCACAGCCATTCAAAAAAATAATTTTACTTTTTATTACCAATTAAAAATAATAGTGAGAGATTTATTTAGTACTGGCAATGAGCTATCTTCCCCGTTAAGAGTATTTTCGCCACGCAAGTGCTTGACTTCTGTATTCGGAATGGGAACAGGTATTACCACTTGGTTATAATCACCAGTACATTTTATTTTATTCAATAATTTTTTTACTTTTTGAGAAAAAAATCAATCGACTAAGGATTAAATTACTTAATTGCTCTCTCTCTCTCTCTCTCTCTCTCTGGTCTTTTATCATCACGAGGGAGACATAAAACAATTATCCAGCCTATCCAGTTTAGAAAAAGTGCCAATAAAAGCCCTACTGCACCTTTTCTACGATAAGCCCAAATCATCATTCAAATTGAAAAGATAACATATGCAATAAAAATTGTCCAGCCAACTGGTCCAAGTTCGTCAAATTTTATTCAATATTCCATATATATTATTTTTATTTTATTTAATGGTCATAACTCACCACTTCTGTCTTCCCCTTCAAAATTACTTAATGGACTAGCAGAATTAAAGCAAATCTCTAAATCAGACCTAAAAGCGTTTCTTCAAGAAGATCACA